TATATATAATCTTGGAAGCTATATATTTATATCTTGCAAGCTATATATAATCTTGGAAGCTATTTCTAAGCTGTCTATAAGACTGTGGAAGCTATTTATGTTACGGGAAGCGGCCTGAAGCGGTTCCGCACTATTTACTAAATAGCTTCTGGGTGTCACAAACAGTTTTATGACCCGCTTTTGCGATCTTATAAATAGCTTCTGGCATGTTCAATAGCTTCTGGGATTCTATAAATGGCTTCTGAAGTTATATAAGTCGCTTCTGGCCTCCAAACGCTGACAACAGAAACTGGCCTGTCAAGAGGCTGAAGAACTAGGTAGAGTAGGCGACTTAGATGACCACAACTGAACACGAGAAAAGAATAGCTCATGCGGAAAAAAAAAAAAAACGCTGCAACACTCATCATGAAGCGGACTGTAAGAACAAGGCCCGTGACACAGACAAGGCACTGCAAGAGTCTGCAGGAGCCTACCGAGGGGTTGGAGCGCTCTCCTCACCTCAGTCTCTGAGGTTGGGCACCTCTTCAAGACATTTCAAAACGATTCCGATGACTTGAGGATTCAGGTATCTTTTTCCACTGCTTCCAAGTCTCTTCGTGATGAGCCTGTGGTCACTATGAACAGACACCAGCAGAGAACATGCAGGCATCTTGCTCAAGAACGTATACGCTTCCGAATGCACTGTGCTGCATGCTCAGTGCAGTTTCAGCTGCTCGGATCCATGGCGATGTGTTCCACACCTGGTGACGGAATGACCCCCAAGGATTCAAACTAACCATGAAAGCACGGGCTGTCCTTCAGGCACCCCTGGTGGCTGGAGCGGCTGCTGCTTGGGCAAAGGCATTGCCAGCCTGAGAATTTCAAATGTCAGGTGCGGTAGCGGGTTGAAAAACTTCAGTGCTGACAAGCTGCTGCGATCTAGGCCTCATTGTGTTTGCAGATGGCGGCACGAGGGGCAAGCGTGGATGGTCACCACGCGTCATCACTGGAGGTGTGATTGGCTTGTGCGGCTCTGTGCTATTAGGTGGAGGCCGTGGAGGAGGCAGAGGTGCCTGAGAGGGCGTGGCTACAAGGGGTGGGGGTGCCAAGGGTATGCGATTATCGCCTGGTGTTGGCGGCACAAAAGGTCTTGGCTGGTGGTGTGCAGGTGGTGGTGGAGGCTTCGGCAGATTGGTTGATGTTGACGCCTTAGCTTTCTGCAGCTTAGGAGGGATGGCAATCTGAAGTGCTAATCATGAGCAGCTACACAGCTACGCTAGACCATGTGCGGGTCTACCAAAACAGCTCGTTACCAAGGCACGACTTGAATCTGCGCAAAGCTTGGACGATGGGAGAACTGGTTCCACTCGTGTGGATCATTCTCACGCATGGCTATGGGTGGGAGGGCTGTGGGCTGGCGACTGGACCTGCTATCCATGCCTGCCATGCCTGGAGGCCTGGGAGGAGGGAGCGGCAGTGCGCTTGGAGCCTGCGCTCTTCGAGGTGGGGGTGGGGGTATTCCCTTGGCCTGCGTCGGACTCGGTGGCATGCAGAGGGCAAAATCGCTGGCCCAGTCAGAAAAAGCTCGGTCTACTCGCAAATCTATGCGCTCCGCGTTCTCGAGGATGGGAGGAGGCAAAGGCGAGCTTCGCACGCTGGGCCTCCGACCAAATGACTCTGGAGATGGCAATGCCGGTGGTGCTGGAGGAGTCAAAGCACTCTCTGCAGAACGCTTCGGAGGTGGCGGAGGCGTCTTAGGTGACTCTGCCATGTTAGGCATGTTCGTCCCTATTATATCATTGAGTTCCTGCGCAAAACTTTGGAAATATTCCTCCTTGTCATCGGACTGTCTCAACGAAGGAAAATGTGGCCGTGGTATGCTTGGCGGAGTGCCCGCAACTGACTGGCCAAATCCAAAGGATCTGCCTCGCGGCAAGGCATCTTCAGATCGGGAAGCAGATTGTGCCAAATCCCTTGCCCAATCCCAGAAATGGTCTTCAGCATCACGGTGGGCATGCTTCAGATCAGTCTTTCCAGGTGCAGCAGGTTCTGCTTGCGGAGAAGGCTCGGCACCTTCCCATGCTGGCCGCGGCTCACATGGCTGCTTTTCGAAGGGCCTCACCCCAATCTTTGCCGTCTTGACTGACTCAGCCATCCACTGGCAAGAGGCCTTGGCATCTGGTAGGTTCACCTTTAAGTTCACATTGCCTGCATACGCCTGCCAGGCACATAGCCCAATAACAATCACGATGGCAATCGAGGCAACTGAAGTTCCAGCCACCATGCCAACATCTGACGACGCAACCGCTATAGTAGGCGGGGTGGTCGACGTCACAGAGGATGTGACTGAGACCGTGTGTGTCGAAGTTGTGCTGGTCGTTGCAAGAGGCACAGGCATGAAGAGGCCAGCATACGCGCCACCTAGTGTTGTTGCAAGGCACTCCACTGTAGTGGCTGTGTAGCTTGTAGGCAGGAACCAGGAGGTGACGCTTGTAGACCATCCTTGAGCATCAGTCTCAGTGTGCAGTGCCTCCAGAGACAAAAAGCACTCCAGCCACTTCCACAAAACATTCCAAACACTTCTCCAAAAGCCCACGGGCCTGACCGAGCGGATCGAGGCGTGCACACACCGGCTCAAAGACATATCCTTCTGGAGGCGACTGCGGTCGCAAAGGCCTCAGGTTTACTCGCAGGATTTGCAATGCAAATTCATCCTCTTCCAATGCCCTAATTCCCTAATGCCATGCAAGGTTCAATGCCAGTGTCATGGCAATAGGCCGAGCCAGGTCCGGTATGGTCACCAAAGAATCGCACTGCTTCACTTCTACCACTTTGACAGTTGAAACTGCTGTGACGTATTGGTTGATACCAATGCCTCAGAACAAGACAGGGGAGCTGATAATACCACGCTCCCAAACTTATTGTTGCGACTGAGTGGCTGGAATTCAAATAGCCAAAGGGATTACCTCATCAACAGCTGACAGACCGAAGCATCTAAGAACAGCTGAGGAGTTGCTCACTCAGTGCATTTTGTTGCATTCCCTCGAGCTCGCTAGGCCTGCTTGCCGCAAAGACACTTTGCACCCAATCAGTCTGCTGTACAGCCAGTGTACTGCAACCGCTGCTTTGAAGGCGTCGCTGGCCAGCTAGGGAGCCGAGAGAATCGCCAGGTATCTGGCAAGATCATGGAATAGACTGCAGGGACGCGTGCGGACGCTCTGCTCTAATACTGATTTCATCGCACCTGCAATCCAACGGCTGTGACTCCATTTTGCAGAGCCGTGCTTATGTCCTCTTTCTGCACTTTGATTTCCTGCGCAAGAGATCTGCTAGGCAGAACACGTTCATTGACTTGTTCATCCAAGCTGCAAGGCCCTTGCCCGTGTCATCCACAGAGCTCAGTGTGGCAGAGCCGCCCACCGGTGTCGTTGCCAGCGCTGCGCTTCCCAATTGCGATGTCTCAGCAGAAACAAACCCTCAAGTGACCCGTGCAGCCGACCGTCTACCCTTTCTCTACTGGAGGCAAGGAGCCATCACCTCAAGTCTTGCAGCACGGCTGGCTGCCGCAGCTTCTGCCTGCCCTGTCTGCACTGAGGCGTAGCTGTCACCGACGGCTGAGATTGAGCGCAGCAAGGCATTGCCGGCAGCCTCATCCACTCCTTTAACACAGTGGCCATCGCAGAAAGGTGTTCAAATCTCAGGAACCTTGCACAACCCTGCAAAACCCCGCCTGTCGCACCCAGCGCTGCCTCAACATCACTGGCAAGTACACATGTCAGGAACGCGAGCCAGGCAAAGGAGGTGAGTCCAGGCAACTTTTAAACTTTCACTGCCAAGAACGGTGCAAGACAAACATGGCACGACACTCCAACAGCTTGAAACCGTCGCAACCGAACCCTCTCCAACCGTTGTAAGACCTTGACCTTGCAAGACCACACAGCTGAGTTACCTCCAGCACCGTGCTGAGAGCATCAGATGCTTGGTCTGCGGATGCAGCATCTGCTGTGCCATTGGTTCCCGAGGTTTTGAGCACTTCGGTTACCACACTGCCAAATTTTTGCAGGCCTCGGACGTGCACAAACACTCTAAAGGGCAAGACAAACTATGCACGAGCTCTGCTGTGGCGTGCTCCACACGCCGATGGGATCCTGGCTTCCTGCATCTGTCTGTACCACTTCGGATGCCGACTTCAATGCCTGCCAGTCAACTGTGCAAATATACTACACCTCCAATCATCCGATTCATCTCTGAAGGAACCTCAAACTTCTTTGCATTGGCTTCTGCCTGGCCGGCTGTATCATTGGAAGCCTGAGGAGGACATCTCATGTTCCAGTGAGAGCCACGTGCATGTCACAGTAGCACAATTTGAAGCAACTCGACAAATGGATATGAGCGTCAACTTCCACTGATGTCAACGAATTCAGCATGCCCAGGATGACGCCCGCGTCTCCACTCGCCACGGCTGAATCTATGGCCAGACTTGCTGCTTCTGCGCTCAGCCCACCTTGGAGATTTCTACCTGTACCCAACCCTCGCACAGCAGAAGACAGCCAGCCAATTTCAGAGTGCGGCACAAGCAAGCAGGATCTACACCCATCTCTGGGCACAACTGCAACAAAACTTTGTTCCAAAATCTTCTCAGGTCCGCACCTATGGGAGCTTCCACCACAGGCCCAGGAGCATAGGCAGTGGCAATTGCTCCTGCAAGGAGATAAGAAGCGGCATCCAAGACTGGCATGCTCTTGCCGTACGCTGCGCATGTATCCTAAAGGATCTCTCGCAACTGCCGCGGTGAAATACACACCAGCTGGTACCTGCACAGCGAAGACGAAGAGCATGTGGGTGAGCATGCCACAATGGCACTTGAGTTCCAGTCAGGCAACGGAAACTTCCCAGCGGCTAGCGTTCGCAGAGATGTTCCGGAGGAACGTCCCACCCAGTTTGGTCCAATAGTTTGAACTGGCGGGGTTTGTGAAATCCTGGATGGGTAAACATGCAAAAGCGCAGCCAAGCGCAGCAACAAAAACCGCAGAAGCAGCTCCAACTCCAACTGTTGCCAGTCTCAGTAAGCGCATTCAAGAATCCACTGGCGGATGTGTGAACGTTCCGTTGATGGTGATGCCTGCTCGCGCATGTGCTTCGTCCGATGAATTCATATGGAAGTGCACCAGTCATGTTTAAACCATACGAGGGGATCGGCAGATATAGGATGAACGAGTTTGCCAAGAAACCCCATGCAAACATACAACCTTCTGGTAACTCGGAGGACAACTAGGAATGCCTTGGGACAGGAGTTCTAGAGCGATCCGCCTGTGAACACTTTGAATGCTTTTGGTAGGAAAGTCCACATGGATGACCATTAGCACTTGATGGAATTAGCCCATAGGTGACCATGAACGCAACAATCGGAAGAAGCCAACTTCCCGCCAGAGAACTGTAGCCTGCAGCGGGCCTGACACATGAAAATGGCTAGCCATAACAAGCACATGGGAAGCCATTCAAGATGTGCATGCCCAGGTCAAGGTGATGCAACCTTCCCTCTTGACCTAAGAGCGTGCGACGGAGGCACCCACCCGACCCACAGGAGAAGCGCCTTGCACATCTCACAACACATGATTTTTTAGGTCGCACGAACCTGGGAAATCGGAAAGGCGAGCAGCCTTACCTATGGCACCTCTAAGCACCAGAAGGAAAGAGGCATGACCTACCATGCAGGTCAGGCTGCGCCGACAGCTTGCTCCTCTGAGACTTTTTATTTTGGAGGCAGTCTCTTATACCAGCATTTAAGATTGCACGTCCTCCTCATGCAAGGAGTGGGGAGTATATTCATCATCTACAAATACAAAACTACAATAATTGGATTAGCAACAATAGGTCAATAGGTTGGCTGCCGGACCCAGATTTCACTGCAAAGCCACTTTCAATTACGTCCCCGAACCGGCCTATCCCAGTCTTTTGAGGGCGCAGAACCGATCACCAATGCATTGGTTGAAAACGATCAGACATCGGGCGTTCCTCAATAATTGGGCTCTCATCTGCAATGCACAGCTCCCCTTTTGTGATGGGGGCCTGTGCACAGTGCAGCGCGCAGTGGCATTCAGAAAAATGGACCCAGGTCCAAAACCCTGAGTCCAAGTTTCTGATTGCCAATCTTTTGTTAGACCTGACCTCAAAGCCCCCTACGCTATACAAAATATAATTGGTTGCTACGCTGCAACACAAAATGAGCAGCAGCTTTCCGGGGTACTCTTCTTGCTTTCAAAGCATATGAGCAGCTACCTAAATTATTAGTAAAAAGCTAAGTAAAAAATCGCTTTGGGGGGGGCCTATCGCTTTACAAGGTTTTTGCACACTGCTGTCATCCATTTCGGGGGTATCGCTTTTGGGGGGGGCCCTATCGCTTTACTAGGGTTTTGCTCATGTCCCTGAATTTTATCTCTGCCTGCT